ACGTTGAATAAAGGTGGTGAGAGTGGCCATCCTTATCTTGTTCCTGACCTTAAAGTTTTCAGTTTTTCACATTAAGGATGATGTTAGCTGTGAGTTTGTCATATGTGGCCCTTTTTATATGGAGACATTTCCTTCTGTGCTCACTTTGTTAAGAGTTTTTTTTTTTAATTAATTTTTTAAAAAAGATTTTTATTTATTTATTTGACAGACAGAGATCACAAGCAGGCAGAGAGGCAGGCAGAGAGACAGGGTGGGGAAGCAGGCTCCCTGCTGAGCAAAGAGCCTGATGATGCAGGGCTCAATCCCAGGACCCTGAGATCATGACCCAAGCCAAAGGCAGAGACTTTAACCCACTGAGCCACCCAGGCACCCCGAGTTTTTTTTTTTTAATCATAAATTGATGTTGAATTTTGTCAATCTCTGCATCTCTTGAAATGATAATTTTACCTTTTGTCAATGTGGTATATCATATTCATTTATTTGTAGATGTTGAATTATCCTTGCATCCCAGAATGTATCCCATTTGATCATGACTTATGATTCTTTTAATGTATTGTTGAATTCAGTTTTCTAATAATTTGTCGAGAATTTTTGGATCTGTGTTCATCCAGAATATTGATGGTGTCTTTGGTTTTGGTATCAAGATAATGCTGGCCTCATAAAACGAGTTTGGAAGTGTTCCCCCCTTTTCAATTTTTTATGGAACAACTTGGAGAAGGATAGGTACTAACTCTTCTTTCAATGTTTGGTGGAATTCACCTGTGAAATTGTCTGGTCCTGGACTTTTATTTTTTTATAGACTTTTAAAATTACTGTTTCAACTTCATTACTTGTAATTGGTCTATTTAGATTTTCTATTTCTTCATGATTCAGTCTTACAAGGTTATGCATTTCTATGAATTTATCAATTTCTTCTACGTTTTCCAATTTGTTGGAATATATTGGTCTAGTAATCTCTAAGAAAACTATTTCCTTTTCTTATCTTACTGCATTAAGACTCCCAGTAAGATGGTCAAATGCATATATATGTACTTTTTGTATTTTGTATTCTCTGAGTTCTGTCACTCCTCTTCAAATCTTTTCTTCAGTTACTTTATTTCTGAGGTTTTTGTTTGTTTTATGTTGTTCTATCTTCTATCATTTAAAAAAAATCTTTTGGTTTGAAATATTGGATTATAGTTTTCATATGCTTTTTTCTCCATTTCATATTTTATTATAACAACTTGAAAAGGATTTAACTGTAATCCTTTTTGTGGTATATTTTTAAGCTAAATAAGTTATCCTTTACCTTTAAAAGGAAGGGATGGATGTAATAGATTTCTAGCCTCATGGTTTTAAAGCTTCCTTTTCTCATGTTTTCATACAATGACACCTATGTATCCTTGTCATTTCTGAGCTCTGTCTCTTCTCTCCCACTTTGATTTGGACCTGAGTTTTTCTTTGCCTCTGTTGTCCCATTCCTGTTCAATTTGGATTCTATTCCCAGAAGTTTCTTTTTAGTATTGGGCTTTGTTCAACAGGGGAGCTCAGGTTTATTAAGTTTTATGAGTTCATAAACTTCATATCTCTCCAGCACTTTCAGACCTTCCTGCTCCTCCCTTTCTACTCACCCTGAGATTACAGACAGCCCGTTTTGCTCTTCTTCTCATATTGGGCTCCCTTGCTTTTCAGTAAATACTTGTGAGCAGTTTGGGGGTCCTCCCATTCTCATGGCCTTCAGATGCTCTGTTGTCATCCTGCTGTTTCTTCCTACCCAGAAACTGATACTAAGTTGACAGTTTGTTCCCACCTACTCATATTATGAGCTTTATGAGGCTTCTTTTTCACTTAGTTATGTTATAGTCATGGTCTATATTTGTTATTGTTATTGTTTTGCTATCCAAGATGTTCAACCTGTTTTTAAAAAGAGATTCAGACTACAATGCCTCCATAGTTATCTTCACAGAGCTTCAATATTCATGTATTAAGTGGAGAAGGGGTACGTTATATCTTTTCAAGTTTTAAACTTTTCCTATATTTTTGAAATCAATCAAAATACAAGTTGAAATGATAATATATTATTCTGCCTTTTAGATAACTCCAACTAATTTAAAAATTAATTTGTTTTGCTTTCTTAGCCTGAAATTAATGTACTCACAAGGATTAGTCTATTCCCATACCTCCCCACTCCCAACTTGCTGAAGGACACTCTTAGACTTAATGAAATAACACAACTAGGCTTAAAATAATGCAATTTGTGATGACTGCCCAATGTTCTCAGGCCAAACATTTGGAGGAGCTCATAATTGTATTTATTACCATTTTGTTGTTGTTGTCATCGTTGTTGTTACAAATTTCTGGTTCTATCTGAGCCCCTTTCTCACCCTACAAACTACAGTCCAACTTAACAAACTGGGTGCTAATTATCTGACTGTGGTCCACATGTTTTGTTTAGCCTGCTCACTATTTAAAAAATGAACAAAATAGTTGCCAACACTTAAAAACCAGATTTCACATAAAAATCCGGTTTCCTGGCTTCTCTTTAAAAATTGAGATCTGAGGGGTGCCTGGGTGGCTCAGTGGGTTAAAGCTGCTGCCTTCGGCTCGGGTCATGGTCCCAGGGTCCTGGGATCGAGCCCCGCATTGGGCTCTCTGCTCAGCAGGGAGCCTGCTTCCTCCTCTCTCTGCCTGCCTCTCTGCCTACTTGTGATCTCTGGCAAATAAATAAAATCTTTAAAAAAAAATTGAGATCTGGTGTAATGAAGCCCATATTCCTACTTGGAATCTGTGCCCTGACTAAACAGAGAATGGTTTCTCAGGTTTGTACTTTTCTCCCAGATAGTTTCTCTCATTGTTATCTTCTAGTCCTCATAGACATTATAGGTTTGCAACCCATGAACTTGAATCTCTTTCATTTCAAACTCTTATTTTGGCTTAAACCACTAAATATTTGCTAATGATTTCTAAATCTGTTTCTACTTAGAAATCCCACGTACTCCCCGGAACCCACATATTCAATATCAAACTATTTTTTTCAAAACCTAATTTTCTTCCACTATTCCCTAAATGACCCAGTTAACATAATTGCATTCCTATAGTTGTCCAAATTAAAAAACCCTTAGGGTTATTCTTTCCTCCTTTTTCTTCATCCTATCCACAGCTTTTCAATCATGTGCCAAATTTTGACAGGTCTTTGCTTTTATAGCTCCCAATATTTGAATACCTTTTTCTTCTTTATACCTGGAAAACCACTTACTTTCCAACATGGAGCAAAATTATTCAATTTCTAAAACTGTATTTCCTGTCTCCAAGAGCATTTAGTTGCTCCTTTTCATGTATAGGTATCTCAAGTACATTGTATGTTGTATGGGTATTTATTTACTGCTGGCTTGCCACTAGTCTATGGATTCCTTACAAGGACACAGATTATGATCTAGTTATCTTTGTATGAACAGTACTAAGACAAAAACATGAACTCAATAAACACATGAATTTTACAAATCAATGAAGATTATTTCATATCATGAATTTACTTTCCTATACTTTCTATATTATGCTCCAATTTCTGATTAAATCCCCCCCCCTTTGTTTTGCTGGCACTTTTTTGGTGCTTGATAGTAGAATCACTTAAATATTTGCACCACATGGCTATATCAAAAGAAAACTTATTGACTCTGCCATGAAAATATGAAGGTTTTTAAGGTAACTTAAAAAAATCCTGCTTTAAATACATAAGGATGCCAAATAGTAACACTGAAAAAATATATTATTACTCATAAACAGAATCCTGAGAGGCACTGAACAGCTGTTGAAAAACTTGGCACGTCATTATGCCAGGCCGAGTTTAATGACCTACATGTGAAGAGCTACATATCCAATTACTAATCCTCACTCAGCTACTCTTTGCCCTGATATAGAGGCAGCTGGAAAAGAGATGCCCTACTAACATCAGAAATGGATCCAGAGTTTGTTGTCAATGTTCAGCTAAGAGATCTTTTAGATTTAAGATGAGGAAGAAACAGGGAGTAACCCACAACAGTCTTATAGCTGACCTAGTTGAAAAACTAGCTGACTAGTTTTTCAAGTAAAATTTGAGGGTTTAAAACAAGAATGCTTTCAGTTTTGTGATTAGAGAACTCAAATTTTGAATTTAATTTCTATTCATTAAAGCCTTTAAACATGTTCAAATATGTTTTCAAGTATCAATAATTTACTTCATAATTCTTCCCATACCAATATGGCAGTATTCTAGTCATCCATTCAAATCTCATTCTTATCTTCAAATTCTGCAATAATCACCAATAGAAGAAGGCTAAAAGAAAAGCTAAAAACGACAGTCTACTAGATTATGTTTCAGTTCTCCCTCAAGTTGACTTGGTCTATATATAGCAAAAAGATCACATAAGGTCGTGTATTATGAACAATGAAACGTCACATGATGTTTTGCAAAACTGTAAGAAAATTAGTTTAAGGAATGAAAGGAGAGTAAGACTTAGGATATAATGAAGAAAAAAATTTAGACATTCTAGATTTAAATGCATCTTATTGGGAATTTGACTCACTCTTCCAATTTGATTTTCCATTTGAGTTGTGTGAAATCATGTGATACTGACAACCTTCTTCCGTATACATCATAGTTCAGGCATAGCTATGCTTTCCTTCCAACTCCAGTAGAGAATTAAAGAGCTCACCATCACTGTTTCGCATTTAAAATTTATAAAAGTAGTTATGCCTTACACCCCTCCTCTATCCCCATAGGAATATATAAATGAATACATGCCTGCAAGCATACACTTGCTTTGAGGTGCAAAAGCAGACATCATTGTAACTACCGCCCCTCCAAAAAACCCTCACTCCAGACCCCGCCCAACATGAACTCCCTCCCCTTTCTGCAGGTCCAAGTGTGGCGCATTTTGATGACGTAAAGGCGTACGCGCCGTAGCCTCCTACGCGTAGCAGCCGTCCCTGCCTCTGGGAGTTGAAGTTTCCTAAGGAAGATTCGTGAGCTCTATGAAGACCATTACGAGAAGGCTCTGTGTTGGTGTTCTCAGTTCCCTGACAACTCCTCGGCTCCGTAAGTCTCTTGGTACTGCCTCTGGCGCCTGCCTACTCTTTGGTCTTCTTTGGGCGCAAAAGGGACTCTTGGCGATGCCATTCTCGACTAGCAACACGGCTTCCGGGGGAGAGGGGAGTGGGGCTGTAGAAATGGAGCCGCGACCTCGTTCCCGAAGGAAGTGATGTCAGATAGAGCGCGTCCCCAGAGCCACGCAGCTCCCTGATTCGCTGGCTGTAGTTTAATCCCTCCTCGAGTGCGTCCGCCGACGGGTGCCTTGGAGGGGAGTGTTGGGCGAGGCTCTGCCCACCCGCTGTGGGAGTGCCCGCGGTCGGCGTTTGTGTGGGGGTCGGGATCCGGTCCTTAGTGTATGAAGAGAGTGAGTTTCCAAATAATGAAGGGAGAGGGAAATCTGGACCCCGAAAGGCTGGAAAACGAGTGTGGTTCTGCCACTTGGTGCCTAGAGACCGCGAGCTGTCGCTTTACCTCTTTAAACCCGCCTTACCTCGTTTCTCCCAGCGAGGGGCTGACGTAGCTGAACGCTCTGAAATGCCGAGAGCCCAAGGGAAAGTTGCTGCAGGTGCTGTTAGCCCCATGGTGGTGAGCCGAGGATGGTTTTTAAGACAGGCGTTACTTGATTTCAGCGAACTATTTTAAGTGTTAAAATTCGGGAATTTTTTCTAGAAATGTAAAGAGGATAGCAACAGATGACTTTCTCCCTTTTTGTTTTGGTGGTTTTAATTCCTTCCCCTCTCCCTATACCAGCCCAGCTAAATCATGCGCTTTCAATACTGCAGATCTGGCCGGCGCCTTTTAAGAAAGGTTTTCTTTCCCTCTCATTTTTTTTAAATGACCTGTCACTGTCGGGTCATTCAACTCCATTTTGCAGTTATTCCAACATTCGTTTGGGTCTTTCAGGAGGGGAGGTTGTCATAAGTTATGAAGACTATTTATTTAGCCCAATCGAAACCTTTTTTTTTTTTTTTTTTTAACTTTTGACTGATGTATGTCTATGTTCCCTGCTGGAAGCTGTGCTGAGAATTGGAAATACAAGGAAGATTGAGATGACTTTTACTTACTTGTTTATTTATTTTACTTATTTGTCTCATACCAAATGGCCTTAGTCACCTTTATCCAGTTCTTGGTGTTATCAGACCATCTGATAACCTAATTCTGTAACTAAGCGAACCAACTTTGTAAAAATTCTCTATTAAAGTAAACTAAATTTCACACAGATATTTCTATACAAAATATTCTTAAATATTTGTTGAACGTGGTTGAATAAATGAAAATATACTGTGTCACAGCATGGGGGGGAGGAACACAAAAGTGCTATGGAGCTTATAAACAGTGGCACAAACTTTAAAAAGCAAGTATACCTAGTAAAAAATGCCACATTTTGCTTCAGGTCATCTGAACAAGCTATTATATGGTGAAATACTTATTGTATGGTATCGGAAGTGAGAGTTGATACTTATCTTTGAAGAGTGTGATGTAAGCAGCGATATATTGGGTCTCAAGCCAGCATCATTTTTATTTTGTGCCTCAATGTATCTAGCTTATCAAAGCTTAAAAAAATTCACTCGCTGCAATGTATTTTCTTAATTCAGAATAGCTTTAAAAATAATGAAAATGTCAACCAGCTCATGACCTTTAGGCCAAGTTAAATTTAATTTAGAGTACTCAGGTAGGAAAGACAAAAGCTCCCCCTGGTGTACATGAACTGTAAAACATAGCTATATATTGCCTTTTTTTTTTTTTTTTTAATTTTTACATTATAGAGCCAATCAACACTTTAAGTTTTTTAACAGAATAAAGAACTAGCAAAACACGATGCCACTGATGAACAGAAATGTTCTCTTTTGGAATATGAGTCATTGTTTTATGAAGGGAGCAATTTGTTTCCTGTGAATTTTAAGTTTGTGTATTTAGCTTAGTGGAACGGGTTTAACTTGTTTTCTCTACCTTGTACGGTTTTGCATACATGCATTGCTTTTATTTAATCGACTGTGTATATAAAGGAAGTAAAATAAAAGTGATTCTGGGAATCAATATATATTTTAAAATTTTCTTTCTTATAATTTTTTCAAGCTTGCTGATGTTCCGCATCTCCTGTTTCTTAAGTTGAATGCTTATTTATTTTCCAGCTTTTAAAAAACACTCTTTAATGAATGAACTCAAGGTTGTACATTGATCTCCAGTTTACCTTTTTGCTTGTATCTCTCTCATCCTGCTATTAAGTCTTTCATGTCATTTTGTTTCTCTGAATTCTGAGATTGTCAGGATGTCTTCTAATTCATCCATTACCTCTTGGGCTCCAGGTAATCTGGAGTTTGTCTTACATCTTGAAATTTTTATGTCTTTATTTACTGGTTTCCAAATAGGCTCTTTTCCATAGATTCTTCTTTTGCTTATTTTATGCCTGCTTTTGTGTCCCAATTTCTGGTTTTGTTTTTATCGTTCTATTGCTATGATCTCTGAAAGATTCCAACCAAATTTATTTTAAGTCTTTCACATTGTTCTCTTATTTTCAGTTTGTGAAGAGTGGATTTATCTCCTGATCATTGATTTTCCTGGGGTTTTCCCATCATTTCTTTGTGTAACTTTGCTTTGCATAGTCCTCTTATAGAATTATCACTACCAACCCCTCAAAACCATCTTTCTATGTGCTGCTGAATTTGTGGTTGCTCTTATCCTGGCCCTGTTAAATGCTTCCTTCCACGCACAGCTTGCAAAGGTGATTCAGATCTCTAGTTCTATAGTCTTCTAAGGTCATATGTCATCTCATCGTTTGGCTCCGGTTATAGCTGAGAGCTAGACACGGCTTCCTTCAGGTTTCCCCAGGTAACCAGTGTGGTATAAGCCTTTAGTCTAAATTTCATCTGTTTTCAGGCTTTTTTTCATGGAAAAAGGAGCCCCATCCCCAACACTAGTTTAAGGTTCATCTTAAACCCTCTGCTAGGGGCACCAGGCACTTAGTTGATTAGACTCTTGATTTTGGTTCCTGTCATTGATCTCAGGGTTGTGAGATTAAGCCCTTGCTCAGTAGGGAACCTGCTTCTCTCTTTCTCCCTGACCCTCTCCCTGCCCGGCCCCCACCAGTGCATGTGTTCTCCCTCTCTCTCTCTCTTTCTCTCTCTCTCTAAAATAAGTAAATCTTTTAATAATAATTTTAAAAAGCGCTATTCTCTCTCCCATCCTCTTTAAAGCTAGGAGAACTCCCAGTTGCCTTTACATTGCAGACCCAGCAGGAACAACATCTATTTTAGTTCTTGGTTTTGAGAGAAGCTATACCTTTTTTGTTTCCCCTTGTATTTTATCTACTGTTGTCACGTATTTCAAGATTGAGAGACAGGATGCCTCAAAACATGAACTTTTGGCAACTATCTCTAGGAATACTCTGTCCCATTTTTGTATTCAGTTGCATAGGAATTGAACTGGAGCTATTTTTTTCTCCTCTTTCAGTGACACAGTGTTCTCAGAGCCCTCCAGCAGTAGGGATGAAGCCGCACAGCTCTTTTACATTCTTTGGAAACCCTCATTTTCTAAATAAGATTTTGGATTTCTGGGAGAGAGTAGAGTTGAATCTGGGTTTGAATCTTAGCTCCATCACTTCATTTGTCTATTCATTCAGCAAGTATTTAGAGGACTTTGTCCTAGATTTGTTCTAGATGCCTTGTTTCTTAGGAATTAATTAGTACTTTTGTAATTTGAGGCAAATTATTTTTTATCTCACAGTGCCTTCTTTGTAAAATACACATGATGCTCTCTACCTCATAGGGTTGTTTTAAGGATTAATTTAGACAATATTATTTAGCATAGTAAGAATTAACAAGTTCATTATAACCACTTTCATTACTTTTTAAAACTTTTGTAATATATTCACTCATTTGTTTATTCTGAAAATATATAGTAAGCATCTACTAACTGCCAGGCACTCTGTTAGTAATGTAATGTGATAAATGTTAGGCAAAAGCAGACCTCATCCATGCCCACAGGCAGTTTCCAGTATAAAATCAAATTTGGGTTTTCATTTCTAAGAGATATTTACCCCCAGACTAAGGGTACTGTTTGGTTGGTGGCATAAGGAAAACTTGTGAACTCTTCCTTGGATTATCAGATGGTTCTTTCCCCTTCAGTAATTTGTGATTTAGCAAAACGCCAGGGTTTTTGCTGTAGCCCCTAATACACACATCTTAAAATTCATCTTTCAGTCAAAGTCTGGTAACCTTTGTGTTTTCTTAGTTATCCCCATGTGTCCTGTTATAACATTACATTTTTAAAGAAAGCAAGAACTCTAAAAAAACTGCGTAAATTATCTTCTGCAAGGCTTTGTCCTTTCGGTTATCTGAATTGTTGGGATTTTTCTCTTAGATTCTAGCTTCTCTGCACAGACTTGTTAGCCATCTCTTTAAGAAGGAAGAATCAGGGACGCCTGGGTGGCTCAGTTGGTTAAGCAGCTGCCTTCGGCTCAGGTCATGATCCCAGCATCCTGGGATCAAGTCCCACATCGGGCTCCTTGCTCTGCAGGGAGCCTGCTTCTCTCTCTGTCTCTGCCTGTGCTTGCTCTCTCTCTCTCTTTCTCTCTGACAAATAAATAAATAAAATCTTTAAAAAAAAAAAAAAAGAAGGAAGAATCATGGAGTTTTCTTTAATGCCAATAGAACATTTGCAATTCATGCTTAGTCTTTGCTAGGGATAAATAAATTTTTAAGTTGTAGTGCTAGTAATCTATTAAAGAGAAAAGACATCTTAGTATTTTTAGCTCTTTCCTAATCTGAAGGTAAATTCAGTTCTGGACAACAGATATGAAGATGTGGGTGGTTAATCCAATTAAATATGATTGAGATGGTCTTGCACCGCCCATGACTGATTATAAGATCAGCTTACATATTTTGTTTTATAGCCAAGACTAAGGTGGATATTTATAATTATGTATTTACAATGAAATATACTGAAAGGCAACCAAATTTGTTTTCTTCACTGTCCAAAATATATAAATCTATAGCATATCTTTTGTTAAAAATCATTTCTGAGTGTACACCCAGATAATGAAAATAACCTTTCCCTTGTACTGTAGCATTAATGACAGGTTCTTCCCATCACTTTTTTTAAAGTATTTTTTCTTTCATAAAGCAATATATTTTCATTATATAAAATACAGAAAATGCAAAAAAGTGGGTAAAAATTAAACATGATTATGTGTACATGTTCTTTTTAAAACAAAGTTGAACATAATTTTATACTGTTTTTGGTTTTTATTTTTTTCCATTTAGCATAACCATTTCCTTTTATCACTGAATAATTTTGGGAAACAAGATTTTTACTGGATGGTTAGTATTCCCAGCCCATGTTATAGATGAACTCTAATTTATTTACAGACCCCTCTTGCTGACATTCAAGTAATTTCTAATTTTTCATTGTTAAAAATTATACTCTGGTACATATACTCTTTTGCATTAATTTTGTGTATATTTCTAATCCATTTACAGGATTTTATTCTAAGGAAATAAATTACTGGGTCAAAGGGTATCGAGACATTTTAAAGCTCTTGAAACACAGATCTGCTTAACTTTCTGGAAAAATTGCCATGACTGCTAATAGTATATGCAAACACCCATTTCATCAAATGGTCTTTGCCAGTAAATGACATTTAATTGTCTAAATTTATATTTTTTTTCATTATTGATAGGATTTAATTTTAATTACATCTTTTGGTCTTTTTTTTTTTTAACTTTCCGTGTGTGTGTGTGTGTGTGTGTGTGTGTGTGTGTGTGTGTGACAGAGAGAGAGAGAGAGAGAGAGACCTGTTCACATCAAAAGTTGCTTTTCAATTTTTTCAGAGGCATCAAATAATGTCTTCTGAAATGTTGCCAGCATTTACTGAGTCTTCTAATGTTGAAAGAAAGCAAAGCTTAAGTGAAGATCAAGAGAAGAGCCAGAAGCCAAGATTAGGGGAAGAGTTTGAACCAATATCTAAAAGACAAATGAAGAAGCTAATTAAACAGAAACAATGGGAAGAACAAAGAGAACTCCGCAAGTATGTTTCAAAATGTATATATATGCTGCACCATTCGGGAGTGCTGAACTTTGCATAGCCCTTTGACACATCAAAAGTAACTGTGATAATTAAAACTGGGGCTATGTATGTTGTTAGCACTGTCAATTGGCTGTTAAAACTGTATTTGTTTCCATCTTGGTAGATTTACAGTACACTTTTTGTCACGCAGAGCCTATTGTGAGTAGCAGCACAGTTTCTGAAATAACTGACTTAGATAAGGGATATAGTTAGCATCCGTGTCCTAGATATAGAACAAAAATAACCACCTCAGAAAGATCAAATTTGGTCCTAACATTGATTTTGCTAGAAAAACCATTGTAGGTTTTGGTGAGAGCAGTTAAGCTGAAGCTGTTATTATATAATGCCAACATTTATTGGGAGAAAATAAACTATAGTTGGTGTAGATTATAGGAAAAGTATGAAGTGTTTTTAAAAAAACACTCTTACTTTGCTTTATTCTATATTAATGTTGTTTGAAAATCATGTAGGAGAAGAATGATAAAAGTAAAAATTCATCCTTAAGTCCAAAATTCAGTATTTTACAAAGTCTTAGTATAGTGTAATACCAATGATAAATGAAATTAGGAGTAGTGAGGGTCTGTGTAGAAAGTATTTTATTGCTTTTGCAAAATAATATTCTTTCTATCTAAAGCTTTTTGGTGGATGATATGAAATCGCTGACATTTGATCCACAGAAGTAGCAGTTTTATGTGGTTCAGCCTGCTAATTTAAAAAAAATTATTGGCTTTTTTTGTCTATTTAGAAGAGTCTTGTAAATATCCGAATGTGTAAATAACAACAAAAAGTTTCAATTCCTAATTTTAGACAGAAGCGGAAGGAAAAACGCAAGAGAAAACAATTAGAGCGACAATGTCAACTGGAATCAAACGTAGATGGAAATGACAGAAAACGCATTCGAAGAGATGTTGTCCACAGTACACTCCGCCTTATCATTGACTGCAGTTTTGACAGCTTGATGGTATTGAAGGTATCATGAATCATTGTCAGAAAAATCCTGTAGGTAAAGTAGGTTGAGGGGCGCTTGGGTGGCTCATTCGGTTAAGTGTCTGCCATTGGCCCAGGTTATGATCCCAGGATCCTGGGGGGAGCCCAGAACCTACTTCTTCCTCTCCCTCTGCCACTCCCCCTGCTTGTGCTCTCTCACTTTCTCTCTCAAATAAATAAATAAAGTCTTAAAAAAAAAAAGGTTGAATAATTCTTGCTTTAATAGGTAATATCACTTTAATATAAACTTATGTATTAAAATGTATCTTAAATAAAGTTTTTCAAGATCATGCCCCCTAAGTTAAACTAGCTAATAAATTGCTCTTTCTTATATGCATAGAAGAGAGAGACAGACACTGTAATTAGATTATAAGACTCAGTAACTGTATATTAATCATAAAGATCCAGGAGTGTTTTTGTTATTTGTCCTAATCAGAAGAAGAAAGTAAGAAATGTGATTGGTTTAATAGAATTATTTCTTATTTAGTAATTTGAGAAAACTGGCTATCTGAACAATGTTAGCAAAGAAAACATGCTTTACTTACTTTCCAAACCATTAGTAAGTTATGAAAATAGCAGTAGTATGGCTCTACGAGAGTTTTTCTTCTCTTGTTGTCTTTTATTTATTTATTTATTTTTAATATTTTATTTATTTATTTGACAGACAGAGATCACAAGTAGGCAGAGAGGCAGGCAGAGAGAGAGGAGGAAGCAGGCTCCCTGCCGAGCAGAGAGCCCGATGTGGGGCTCGATCCCAGGACCCTGGGATCATGACCTGAGCCGAAGGCAGAGGCTTTAACCCACTGAGCCACCCAGGTGCCCCTATTTATTTTTTTTTTTAAAGATTTTATTTATTTATTTGACAGAAAGCACAAGTAGGCAGAGAGGCAGGCAGAGGGAGAGAGGGAGAAGCAGGCTTCTGGCTGAGCAGGGAGTCCATTGTGGGGCTCGATCCCAGGACCCTGGGATCATGATCTGAGCCAAAGGCAGATGCATAACAACTGAGCCACCCAGGTGCCCCCTTTTGTTGTCTTTTAAGAAGAGTAAATACTTTCATGAATTAGCATTTTAAGTGGATACAAAATTGAGTTATTGATCAGGGTATTGACTTGACTTATAGTAATTATTATATCAGTATGTACAGAAGTTGAATGGAAAATGTCACAAAGGACCTGTATTTCCAGAGGAAAAAATGTACCTGTCTAGTCCCTCTCTTTTGCTTATTTTATTCTACTAAGATTATGGAATGGCCATAGGTGATTTTCAAAGTGCTGCTTTAAAAATCGCACTCTTTTATAGGACATTAAGAAACTTCATAAACAGATTCAGCGATGTTACGCCGAAAATCGGCGAGCACTGCATCCTGTGCAGGTATGTTTGGGGAATTTAAAACAGATTCCAGTTTCCTTTTATAACTTCCTCTGGAAAAGGCATAGATAATCCCAGTTGCCTATACAAGAATCTTACAGATGCTTTTCCTTAAAGAACAAAATGCCTATTTGAAAAATGTTCTAATTTGCTACAAAAATAAAGTATTTTCAACATTTTTTCCTATGTCAGTCTTAGTCACACGCTGCACAGTCATTGTGTTTTGTACCCACTGACCTCATTCCTGTGTAGTTGAACATCTTTGCTAAAGGATATATATGTATTTTCATACCAGTTTCTCAGCTCTCAACTCCTTTCCTCACAGAAAGTGAGGGAACTTCCCCCAGCTTGATGTGTGCCATCGTGCCTGTTGGTTAGGTTTCTTCTACCTAAAGGATTTTGAGTCTGTGGCCATTTGGAGAGGTACTCCCACTGTTAAGAGTAGGTAGGGTCTTTTTTCTATTTGTTTGAATTCTAGGTGACCTAAAAATGAACACTGGCTCACTGATGTTAAGAACCAGAAATTCTTAATATATTTCTGGTTAGATATTTATTTTCTTTTTATCAAGTAATAGTATTTTTATATTTTTACATTTTATATTCCTCTCACCCTTGATTAGACTTGGAATAGGTGTCAGGGTTTAGAATCAAAGGAAAATGATAAAGACTTTGGACTGGTAAAAAACAGTGGTGGCAAAAGAAACTGAATGAAAACTTGACATAAATGTAGGGAGTTTGTAGAGAAGCGATTATTAAGGGAGAGTCAGATTGTAGCTGCTTGTAAAATGGGAGAAAAATGTGGAAGGAATACTCAAGGTAGTGGGTTATGAGATACAACAAACATGTCACTTTTATCATACATTTATTCTTGTATGTTTTAAAGCATGTCACAAATTTTTTTTTCTAAAATGGCTATATTTTATGGTTCATTGATGATCAGATGATTTTAGAAGAAAAATAAAATACTGGACTCTGATAGTTATTTGCTTTTTCTTTCTATGTCCATCAATCTCTTCTATCAGTTTTACTTGACAAGCCATGGAGGCCAATTGAAAAAGAACATGGATGAAAATGACAAAGGATGGGTCAACTGGAAGGTAATTAAAATAGATGAACTCTCACATAATTCCAAGTATTTTTATGCTTAAATTTTTTACTTAAATTCTACATAATGCCAATAAATACAGGAGTCAACAGTCTCTAAACCCTGTATATCACTATACCTAAGTCTAATGTTACTAACGGTAGAAGCTAAAGAAACTGAAATGCCTATTCACATGTTCTCATTAAGTCTCACTTATTTTACCACCAACTTTATCTTTTTATTTTTTTATTTCTTTTTTAATTTAAATTCTAGTTAGGTAACATATATGGTGAAATTGGTTTCAGGTGTAGAATTTAGTGATTCATCACTTACATATAATACCCAGTGCTCCTCACAACAAGTGCAGTCCTTAATTCTCATCACCATCTGGCCCATTCCCTGCCCACCCCCCCCTCCAGCAACCCTCACTTTCTTCTTTACTGCCAACTTTAAAACAATTTTTTAAAACAGGAAAAATTTTAAAGTCTGTGTGTATAATCTCTACCTAGCAAACTGGTAATACATTACCAGAGTGAGATCTCTTTAAAACTTGGAAATGTACTTATATTCTGTTTCTCCTAAATCTGTGCCATTCCATATGGTGACCACTACCCACCTGTGGATATTGAACTCTTGAAATGGGAATGGTCTGAATGGAGATGTGCTATAAATGTGAAATGTACATTGGATTTGAAAGTACAAAAAAAAAAAAGAGAGAGAATGTACAATACCTGCTTGAAATTTTTTAAAAAATTTATTATATGTTGAAATGATAACATATTGGGTATAATGTGTTGGGAACAATGTATTAAAATTAATTTCACCAATTTTTGCTTTTTTTAATGTGTCTACTGAAAGATTTAAAATTACATATGTGGCTCACATTTTTTTTTCTATTGGACTGAACTGTTCTCATTTGCAAAGATGACGAATAGATTGGCTTTAGTATTAATCCCTGAGGAACCTTCCCCTATTCAGAGAAGTACTGGGTTAGTCCTATTTTTTTTTTTTTCCTCAGAGCCAGTTTTTACGTGATAAACTTTCCCTCTCACACTCACTAATCCCATAATACTGCTTTTTTTTTTTTTTTTTTTTTGGAGAGGTGGGTGGGGAGGAAGAGAGAGGATCCTAAACTGGGACATGGGGCTTGATCTCATGACCTTGAGATCATGACCTGAGATGAAATCAAGAGACACCTAAACGACTGAGCCACCCAGGCACCCCTGAATTTATTTTAATAATAGCCTATGGTGTGAAACATTTTCTTCAAAAGCTTTCCTAAGTTTTAAAGTACAATATATTTACCAAGTTTTATACCCATGCCTATTTTCCTAAGAAATAATGTAATTTGTATAGGCATACTTTCAGTTATTTTCTGGCTTGTTAAATTTATTATTTATACCACCAGTTTTCCAGAGACTCACAAGTTAACTGGTCTTTACTCAGGGCCTTGTAGGGCCCCCTATTAAGCATGGCCATCAAATTAATAATACCATTTTCCAGAAAAGCGGCTATTTATTACCTAGTAGCTTATACATTTAAGGTGAAAAAGCTTCTTCATTTTTTATTTCTTTAAAAATTACTAAGTAAATGCAATCTGAGTCTGGTGATGCATCGTCTCTTACTCTATCAATGTAGTTTGCAAAATTTTGACTGCTGACTTTTGTTCAGTCTTGTACCTCTGACCTGATAATTTTGGTGAAGATTTCAAATGTGATCTTTATAGAAACAGATGTGTAGAATTTATTAAATCTATAATCCTTTTGTGATGATACAGGCAGATGGATAGGAAGGATTGGAAGAGGCATTCTTTGGTTAGAGAGAAGTTTGAGCCGATTGTGGCCAAAAAAATGCATTCGTTTTGTTGGAACAGAGCCAAAGTTAGGAAGCTACATTAGTGCCATATTCAAGAAAGAGTTACTGGGGCACCTGGGTGGCTCAGTGGGTTAAGCCTCTGCCTTCAGCTCAGGTCATGATCTCAGGATCCTGGGATCGAGCCCCACATCAGGCTCTCTGCTCAGCAGGGAGCCTGCTTCCTCCTCTCTCTCTGCCTGCCTCTCTGCCTGCCTCTCTGCCTACTTGTGATCTCTCTCTCTCTGTCAAACAAATAAGTAAAATCTTAAAAAAAAAAAAAGAATTACTAAGTAAAAGGGTTTAACTTTCATCCTACGGGTAAAGATAAATCCTTGAAAGTAGGGTTTTTAGAAAGTGAGTCTGCCATTGGTCTGTAGAAGTAAACTGGAGGGATCTGGTGCTAGAGACGGAAATAGCAATAGGAGGCTACTAAATAATTGGGGTGTGAGGTGATGAGGAATTGAAGTAGTAGGTTCTCAATAATTGTAAAATATTGTTTCATACTTCCTTTCATATGCTGTTGGGTGGCTTTGCTTAAGGAAAAGAAAATAATCCTTTTTAGCCAATTTTTACAAAATCTTATTAATAACATCTTTCTACTTATGTCTTAAAGGATATCCACATCAAAGCAGAGCATTATAGTGAATTCATAAAGAAAGAAGACCTAATTTATCTAACATCAGACTCACCTAATGTACTGAAGGAATTAGATGAATCAAAGGCTTATGTGATTGGAGGGTTAGTAGATCACAACCATCACAAGGTACTATTAAGTTTTTATTTTTACTTTTGCTCATACTTTAAAATGGATATACCAGTTTTCTTGATAGTATCAATAATACTGATAGCTGATCATTATTGAATGCCTACTATAATCCAGTCACCTTTCCAGCTAAGAAAGCATTTCACATATATTACTAGTTTGCTTAATCCTCCCTACAACACAGTGAGGTTAGTGTTGTTATTATCTATATTTTACAGATAAGGAACTGGAGGCACAGAGAAACTAAGTCTAAACTCAATAGTAGTAGGTGATAAAGCAGATATTTGACACCAGCAGATTGTTCCAGAGTCCACATGCTTAAATGATATGCTGTGTTGATAGTAGATGCTGCTGATGGCAAAATTTATACCAATTTATACCAAAATTAGTGCCAAATGGTAAATTTATATGAGTTTTTAAGTACGTAATTTTCATGGGGTGTGTTTTCTTTTCTCTTGTATTTTGTACTTTTGTCTCTTCCCACCACCTCCTTACCCTCATTTGAATGAAAAATTACAGAAATTTACTTTCTAAAAGAAAACATTATTTTGTACTTGGCCAGCTACTTTGCAGTATGCTAAATTCAACCCAATTCAAGAAAAACATCTTTACCAGTTGTCTAAGGAAATGCTATCAGAATAATATGAAATAATTCATTATTCTTGTATAACATCACTCTGAGTTAGAACTGTCTGTAACGTTGGGATAGTTTATATCATCTTGTCCATTATGATAGCCATGTGCTGTTGAGCACATGTAATGTACATAGTTTGATTGAGAAACTAATCAATTTAAACTTAAGCAGTCACAATTGTGGCCGTAACTGGGGAGTGCAGCTCTGTAGCATCACAGGAAATTTTTATCAGAATGATCTTTAGCTTCTTAAAATTTTTTTCTTAGTGGAAAAATTCTATTTTGTTGTGTAGAACCAAATTTTTTTCTCTAATGTTGTATGTTTTTCTGAACTACATTAAGTTTGTTTTCAAAAGCACCTGTCTCAGTTGATTATTTGTCCCTAAAATTTGCAGACTACTGGTTAAGAAATTTAACTCTTCTTTCTCCTGTACTTTGTCTTTTGGCTACTTCAATTCTGTTTAGAACAGGCTTTCAGAATTTTAATTTTGAGGAGAAAATTTATATTTAACAATCTTTTAATTGGTAGGGAAAATAAAATTTATAGGCAATTTAAAATTTTTTTCAAATCAGGTTTTCATTTACTTTGTCTTTGCCATTTGTGCCTCTTACTGTTATGTAATTGAAACATAGTTTTATCTCTATATGTTTTTACATTTACGGGAAGAGTGATGATGCTTCTCTAGGAATTCAGTTTGAGTATTTTAAACTGAGAGAAAGGCAGTGTGGAATGGTGAAGAGCTATCTGAGTCAAAAGGCATGAGCCAGATTTTTCTTGTGGTTCTTCCACTGAGGAGCTTTGTGTTGGGGTAGGAAACACTAAACTAGTCTTTGGTTTCCCCATTTGTAAAGCTGTTAAAGCAAATGCCCTAAACATTCTGACGATACTTTCTGTCGAAAGAACGCTTCCAGATTAGCAATTACACACAAACACACACACTTTGTAGATAATGTTTTCTGAACTAAAGTTGTTTCTTATTCTGTTGTAGACTTTAAGTTAAAATAATCTAATGTTCTAGTCCAAGTTATAGTATCTTTGTTTTAGGGACTCACATATAAACAAGCATCAGATCATGGAATTGATCATGCACAGCTCCCCCTTGGAAATTTTGTGAAGATGAATAGTAGGAAAGTTTTGGCAATTAATCATGGTAAGCTATAAGCGGATTATGAAAATATGCTTGAGTGAACAGTGTGAAGAATAACATTACCTTTGGACAAGTAGAAAATATACATCTTGCTGGAGACAAAATTATAAAATGTAATCATTTATAATTTGTTTGAATATTGCTTATTTTAGAAAAAATTAGAAATGTAGAAAAATATGCTATAATTCCACTACCCAGAGTTACTTGCTATTAACTTCTTGGGTGTGTCCTTCCAGTTCTTTTCCTATGCATATATAATATTATTTGTTACATAATTGGATTTTTACTCTGTTGCATAAAATATTATAAATTTGGATGTTTTTCTCCCATTTATAATTTTATTTTCTGTCATTGAATCATTATTAATGGCTACATAATATTCCATCATCTGAATATACAGTAATATAACTGCTGATTTTTTTTTTCCTTTTTTACTTTTGTAAATAACATTGTAGTAGATACTCTTAGACCTGAGTTTTGCCTGGAGTTTTGCTAAGATTTTTTTTTTTTTTTTAGTGGAGATTTTTGTTAGTATACAACTATTTATTGGGCTCTTTTTATGTGCTAAATTAAACACTTTCTCTACAGCACACTCTAGGGAATTACAGAAATGAATTTATCAATTCAAGGAATGAACTTCTAAGACCTTTGATAGTGGAAATTCCTTTTTCATAAAGAAAGTCAAATTATGCCCGTCAGCAATATATTAAAGTGAGAGTACCTTGCAGACAGTATTTATATTCTTTATCTCTAATGTAAAAAAAAAGCGGGGGGCAAGATACTCCCCAGAGTGAGTGACTCTTTATAGGAAAGACAGAAGAAATTTAGATTAATGCTCACCGGTTTTTTTTTTTGTTTGTTCCTAGTTTATGTTAGCATATAAAGGATATAGAAGTGAAACAGATAAGAAGAATAAGAAGGAAATGAAAATGGTGCCCTGCCTATTGATTATAATTGACAAAAGATAATGGTAGATCTTTGAGTGCTCAAGAACTGAATTAAGGAAAAACTAGAGATGAGGTAACAGGCCTAGTGGGCCTTGGGGCAGATTGGCTCTTACAATGCATAGGAGAAGGAAGTGATACAAACAATGTAGTTACTAGGACATCTTAGCACTCTTAATACAAAGGCAGTGTATTTTAAAATACAGAATGCAACATTGTGATGAACCTGGCCAATAAATGTATGGATTTTTTCTTTGTTGCAGTATTTGAGATTATTCTGGAATATCTGGAGACCAAAGACTGGCAAGAAGCATTTTTTACTATCTTACCCCAACGGAAAGGAGCTGTTCCCACAGACAAAACCTGTGAAAGTTCTTTGCATGATAAGACATCTGTCAGGGTTGAAGATGGATTGGACAATGATTCTAGTGAGGAAGAAAGTAGCAGAAATGAGCTAGAATCACCACATGAAGAAGAAAAGCAAGATAAAGAAAATAGTAATGAATCTACAGTGAACTCTATGCCACACTAATGTCATCTGTTGTTTTTTTGTTTTGTTTTTTTGTTTGTTTTTTTTTTTTTTAGTTTAAGGAAAGCCAGAGAAAATGAGGTGCTTCATAGAATATTCTAATTGGGAGAAAATTTTATTTCCTCTTATTTCTGTTGTCAATTTTTAAAACTTTTTTTAGAGCTAATTGATAAAAAAGCCCTTATAAGAAAGTATTTTTTGTTTTTACATAAAATTTAAATGTATAATTTTTTAAATAGTTTTCTAAGTCTCAAGAGTTTCTCGAGAATTTTACTTTATTGGTAAACCTTCATTCTCTCTTAATTACTGGATTATATTTTTAAGAATGTGCCTTCTGACCTTTCAGTTTTATTTTTTTATGTTTATATCAAGTGTCTTTCTGATTTTTGCCTACTTAGTTGTGGAGGTAGATATTCATCAATCTCCTGTAAGTCTGCTGAAATGTTCTGTCTGGGAGGTTACCTCCTATTTGCAGCTTTTTTATTCAACTTAGTTACTTCAAAAGAATGCAGTTATCTTAGGAAGAAGTATTAGATTGATAAACTTAACAATTTATTTCTTTTGGACTGTGGAGCCCATCTCTGTTCCTCCTCTGTGATGCCTTTTTGTGGCTCTAAAGCAATCACCGAAGAGTAAAGAATCTCTTTAATGTTCTTTCCTAAGTTCAATAATGGTGGTAACTTATTTCAATTACCAAATGTAATTCTTCAGACTAGATTATTTTAAAAGGCCATTGAGTATCAATTTTGTCTTAAATTTAAAAGGAAACAGCTCTTAGCTGTCCTTTCCTTCTGTATGTACTTTTATTAAATAATATATTTCTTGGTTCTTAAAGTGAACAAAGTTAACTTTATATGTGCATCTGTCTACTAGCATATAATATACAAGCTAATATAACTGTATATTCCTATAAATAAGCATGTATGAAAAATATATAATTGTATATATATCTGTCCATAATCATGTATGATTCTCAGTTAATAACAGAACTGAGTTGCCAAATATCTGTATAATTGCCTCAATGACTGTGTTGAACAACACTAAGAACTTGAATTTCAGAAAGTGCAAAAATCCATAGCTAAACTTTTATATGAGGACATTGGCAAGGTGGGGCTGAAAGGAGAGGTTTTTATTTTCTCCTGGTAAATGTAGAGTAGATATGTTTAAAATAGTGATTATTCTTTATCATAGCTAAAGCAAGATTTCAGAAGCCTTCACTGAGTTTGGATAAATTTTCTGTTCTTTTTACTCATTGGCATCTCAAATTATGTACACATTGGTAGAAAGTTCATTAGATTTAGTATTGGTAGTCACGGTCTCCTAATTTTTGTTGCTTTATTCCTAGTAATATAGTTATCCGTTTAAAATAAGGTCTGTGAGCAAGGTACAGAAATAAAAGCCCCTACCATTTTAGAAGAGCAAAGCTTATGTCTTAAGTTGTATTTCTCAAAGTTTCAGGTTTTCCTAAGTATGGTTTAGTAGCATGAAATCCAGTTAATCCTTGAAAAGTGTGGGGATGAGGGGCAGCATCCCCCTCACACGGTTGAAAATCCATGTATAACTTTGTCTCAAAACTTAATAGCCTACCATTGACCCAAGATCTTACTGATAACACAGTAAGTGTATTAACACGTATTTTTATGTTATATGTATTATCTACTGTGTTCTGAAAATAAACTAGAGAAAATGTTAAGAAAATCATAAGAGAAAATACATTTACAATACTGTACTGTATAGAAAAAAATTCACATATAAGTGGACCCATGCATTTCAAACCTGTGTTGTTCAGGGGTCAACTGTATTATGCCTTTTACTTAAATTATTTAATATGGAATGAGGCACAAGTTAATTTTGAAAGGAGGGGGAAAATCATTACAGGCACTGTGCAGTTTGTCACTAATTATGAAAGCCCTGTATTATTTCCTAGCGCTGCCATAACAAATTACCACCCGGTGGCTTAAAACAACAGAAATTTTTTTCCCTATAGTTCTGGAGGCTAAAACTCAGAATCAAGATGGATCATGTACCCTCTGAAGGCTAAAGGGAAAAAAGTCCTTCCTAGCCTCTTCTTGGTTTTTGGTGGTCCCAGCAATCCTTGCTGTTCCTTGGCTTACAGCTGCATCACTCCAGTGTCTGCTTTGTCATCAAATGGCTTCTGCCCCCAGTCTTCCTTGCCTATGTCTGTGTCCCTCTTATAAGCATAGCAATCACTGGATCAGTGTCCAACATAATCCAGTATGACCTCATCTTAACCTGATTACATTTGCAAAGATCCTATTTCCAAATAAGGTCACATTTAAAAGGTACAAGATACTAGGACTTGAACATATATTTGAGTAGGCACAATTCTATCCATACAAGTTTATATCTTGGGCTGTTGATGACAAGGAGACACAACCTTCACCTCAGGGTAAGATTACAATGAGAAATAAGTAATTGCTGAGGTATTTAAAAATCTTTTTTAAATAATGGTAATCTCTCATTTTAATGTATTACTTTTACATTGTTTTGGCTTATTGAGGTGCCTTATTTAAGACTTCATTCGCAGTGAAGTCTCCTGTATTGGGACATAATAAAGGTAAGGAATTCAGTTAGTATTTAAATAAATGCATCCAAAGGAAATATGTCTCCTGAAATAATAAAATTTTCTCTCACTTCATTTCTTCAAAAACCTGCAGTGTTAATAAATCAAGCTTGTTCATTAAGGAAGGAGCGTTCTTTGGATTGATCCCCCAGAAATCAGTGTGTTGCCATCTGGAAGCATTTGAAAATACTTGAAATTGGGAAAGAAAACAAACAAACAAAAAAGGCAAGCAATTCTGAAAGAATGTTAAGGTGAATGAACAATTACGAAACCTATCAATTATTGCCAATTAAAAAGTAAAGTGATAGACCATTTTATAGATGGAGAGAGTCACAGATGATACAGGTAAAAGGCAAGAATTGTCCATAGATCACTGAGAACACATACAGACAAAAGTTGTAAGAAGAAAATTTAAAAAAGGGGAAAAAATGGCAGAGATTAGAATTAGACAGCAGTGGGGTATGGTGCTCATTAAATTTTGACCTCAGTTGGCAGAGAGATGCTTATGTGTGTTTCTAGCTCCTAGTCAGGCACATAGAATAGGCGCTTCATAAATGTGAAGGAGAGCAGCAGTGTCACAATGAAAAGACAACAGAGTTAGTGGGAAGAATAGGCTTAAATTTTGGCACAGCCACCTTTTGGTTATGACTCTGGGGGAACTTAATGAACTTCTGTCAGTCTTTGTGTCCTCACTTGTGAAATAGGAATGTTACCCATTTATCCTTTCTCTTAGGGTTGAGCAATCAATTGATTTGAAACTGAGCAGCAGCTAACTTCACAATACTTTCTCATTAACATTCCTTCATATCTTGCCTTGTTTCCCTTGTTTCACATTGTTTGACATTATATGCACCCCCCCCTGCAAAATGAATAAACCATATATAAGCCTTTGTTTCAGACTCTGCTTTCTGAGGAACCCAGATGTAGAGAAGATTTTAAAATGTGAACTTCTAAATTACCAGAATGAGCACTCGTGAAACAAAATATGGATATCATGGATCATTTAGTGAATTATTTTAAAAGACACTGAAAACAGAATGCTAATATAAAACAATAACCTCACAAAACCAAATCTCTCCTATGAGCAAGTATAAATGTTGAAAATCACCAGTGTTGAATTAAAAAGAATAAAGAAGGGCAGATTGGGCTAATGAAAGAAAAAGAAGTCACAAATTTAACATTAGGTAAAGATCAACACATTATAATTAAAAAAGGAAGAGACGGGCAGGTTGTAATGTTCAAGAATGCAATCCTTATGGGCGCCTGGATGGCTCAGTTGGTTAAGTGTCTGCCTTTGGCTCAGGTCATGATCTCAGGGTCCTGCTCAGTGGAGAGCCTACTTCTCCCTCTCCCTCTATCCACCGCCCCCCCCACCCTTTCACTGTGCATGCACGGGTGCATGCTCTCTCTCAAATAAATAAAATCTTTTAAAATCTTTAAAAAAAAAAGAATGAAATCCTTAGTTAAGATTTGGCAATTGTGAATATCTATGCACAAAGCTTAGTATTCAAATTCACTGAGGAAAAACTGGGATTACATGAAATGCTAAGAAATTCATTAGTAGAAGGAGACTTTAAGGCATACTTCACAACCTATGATAGCTGAAATGGACAAAAGATAAATATATGGGAGATGTAAATGCTATAATTAATAATTGATATATATCAAGTTCTCTAAGCTGAAAGTAGTTTCCAGCATCCATGTAATGTTCATCAAAGTATCTATATATTAGGCCACAAAAGAAAATAAGTTCCAAACATAAGAAATAGGCAGCTTAACTGATAATATATTAAAATAGGAAATAAACTTGTGAATGGGAGGAATGCCTTACTACCTAGAACTTTTTTTAGTAAAAAATTTTGTAAAAATTAGTGTTAGAGATAAAGTTGGTCATGACTTCATTATAAAATTCTAGACCGTGTTTGAACATCATGTCAAAATGTATGAATCAAAATGGACAAAATTACAAAGACCACAGAAATACAGACATTTTTATTACACATCTTTCTAATTGATAAATACAAAGAAAAGTTAGATAGTATATATAAAATTTGAACAGTACAAATAACACATTTGTTCTAATGGATCTGCAACTTTGCATCCAAAAATTTTTAATTTCTCATTCAAGTCATATGAGGCATTTATAAAATTGACCATATGCTAAGCCTCAAAACTACCCTCAAGAAAATAAAAGGATTGGTCATTTTTACAGATCACATTATCTGACCACAATGCAATTAAATCATTTAAAAATATAACAAGATTGAAAAACAGTCTATATTTGGGAATTAAAAAAAAATTTCTAAACAACTTGGTCACAGAAAAAAGTAAAAATTAGAATATATTTAAAAGTAAATTTAATGAAACCATGAATTAAAACTTGTGGAATGTAGCTAAAGCAACATTTAAAGGAAAATGTATAGTCTAAATTGCTTAAGTTAGAGAAAG